TTCATTCACATGAGAAAAGAACCGACCTCTGGAGAGGCATAAACACTAACAAATTCCTTTTTTCCCGATTAGATAAACCAATTTATTCCATTGACAATAAAGGTCAGCATTAGCCTTGAACATGCTATCATCAGGAGCAGAATATGTGGGATTCTAAAAATGATAAACGTGCTCGAGTAGTATTTGTGAGAGAAAAAATAAATCCAACTAACATAAAGTTCAATAGAGAAACCAAATAACATGGCATGTAAATAACAATATTCAGCAAGTTGTGATAGATAAAAGAACAGAAATGTAAAAATTGCTGCTTTATATAAAAGAAAAAACTAATGCTTACATAACAAGAACGCAAGCAGAAAGCAATTAAGTAATATACTCAGTTTGTGTATACAGTTGTTAAATGTATTTCTCCCAGGACATAAAGTTAAGAGATGTCTTGAATGCATAGAACTAAGCAAAAAACATGGTGCTATTTGTTGACGCAAATGATAACTTTTTTATACATTAAACATATGTAGACATATTAATACAATTTATACCCATGTAATAACGTTGTAGCATATAACTTAACATTCAAAGGGCCATGCAAGTATGAGTAACATACAAGAGAGTTAAAGTGTACACTTAATTTTAATCTTCAGACATATTAGTCGCTTGTACCTACGGACAAAGAAGAGGATTGCAGACATGTGATTGTAGGTGAGCTACTGGCTACACTAAAATCCTATGCTTACATATTTTGGCATCTCTACAACTGTACCATTTACATAGGCTTTGCAAAATCAGATACACATTTTAGTCATTCATGAAGAGGAGGAGAAAGGTTGCTTCAACTGGCCACAACAAGACTAGATGATTGGAAATGATGAAAAAAACATATTCCATTGTGTTTGTTCCAGTCGTTTTTACGGTATGACCAAAACCCAGTCCCGGTGGATACGGCGAATCATTAAAATGAGTCGACGCGATAAATTACCAGATAATAACAGCTACAGTACCAAGCGACCACCGTCAAGAAGCCCAGTCCCAAATGTTAGGCCATAGGGCATTGGCCACAGCTCAGGTTTCGTAATAGAAAACAATGTTATCTATGGCAGAACAGAAAGCAACAGTAGCATCCGTGTTCAATCGCCTGACGTTAAACAATTAAGAAAAATAGATATAGCCCCTTAGCTAACTGAACAATTGGCCGTATCCTTAGCCAACGGGCTCGTCTGAGTGTGCGCCATCATCACCGTGACGGCGTCACCGTCTCCCATAACACAAGACAGTCGATGAGCAAACAAACGTTAGGTTGCTCTAAGATGTACGCACACGGTCATTCGCTAGACAAATTGAAGGGTAGTTGTCACAATCAGTGGTTGAAACAGGCAATGGTTGTCAGGTAGACTCGCGTTTTAGGTGCGGTTATTGTGTCTTTTGACAGACAACTGCAAACTAGCTTAAGCTAGCAAGCTAGCTACTCACAACAGGCCGCTATGCAAGAGAGCGATATCTGTGGGCGCCGGGCATCTTTATTACCGCAGAGGCATTGACATCACGATTACTGCGTCTCTTGTCTATTAGTTTCTCGTTATTCTGGAGTGTCATGGCTGTCAAAACAGTGTTGGAAACAACGGCATTTACCTGTGTTTCTCAGGTTGCCAGGGCGCGCGGGATCTTTCTCTCCGAGGATCCTGAACACCTCTCGATATTGATGACGTAACGCGTAAATCCTTACTCGAGGACGTAAAGAACGTGCCACAAACTGGAAATAAAAAGCTTTCATTTCCTTCATAGAATTGAACTGGCTCATTGCTTCCTCTGGGAATATAAACGCTGCTAAAACTGTAAATATATAAAACAAATTAGGATCTTTTTTTGTTGGATTTCTTGACACCGTGTATATATATATATATATATATATATATATATATATATATATATATATATATATATATATATATATATATATATATATATGTATATATGTATGTATGTATATATGTATGTATGTATATATATATATGTATGTATATATATATGTATGTATATATATGTATGTATATATATATGTATGTATATATATGTATGTATATATATATGTATATATATATATATATATGTATTTATATGTATGTATATATATATATATATGTATATATATGTATGTATATATATATATGTATATATGTATATATGTATATATATATATATATATATATATATATATATATATATATATATATATATATATATATGTATATGTATGTATGTTCTGGTACGATATGTGTCCAGACAAAAATCTTCGTTTGCTCAGATCCGACTACCCAAAATAAAGATGTTTGTTTTTAGGTTTATGTGTTTTCTGAAGTAAAAGAATCCCCCCCCCCCAAAAAAAAAAAAAAAAAAAAAAAAAAAAAAAAAAAAAAAAAAACAGAGCAAAATGGAATTTTTTTGTCATTTTGGTAATTCTTTTTAAAATTCAGTAATTTACCTATACAAAAGATGGCAGTAATAAAGATATATAATAAAGCTAGGTAAATGGAATTGTCCACTAATACATCGTGAACCCGCCGGGCCGTTTGGTGGCGGTAATACAGCAGAAAACGGATGTCACTTAAATTTACAGAAAGAAGAAGAAGAATCTGGAGCTTTTACCCGGAAAATAGTCTGAAGGTCTTCTGTAATGTTTTTGGGTAACTCTTAAAGGCTGTGGATAAGAATTTGACGTGGAAATGGGTGTTAAAATAGAGATATTCCGAGTAAGCAAATAAAGAATATTTTAATGTTTTTCTTAATTGATATTCAATATTGTTAGATGGTGTTTATTCGTGTCTTAGTTACAATATCCACTTTGTGTAACTTTTCATTACGTTGAACCCCTTTGCAGATGATGCTCTATTTGTCTTTTCCCGTGACCATGTTTTGGATCTCAAACCAGGCAGAGTACTTCGAGGAGTATATCGTAAAGAGAAAGGTAAGCCATTTTCCGTGTGTTGTTTTTAGTTCATATACCATTCTGTCTGAAACCGCATTTGACCCTGTCCAATCATGCTGTATTTCTAAGATTAAAAATATATATATTCATATATTTTGGTCTTTTATAATTTCCAGAGGGAAATCTTCCCGCCTGATGAAGAGTCACAGGTGAGTGAAATGCGTAGATCATGTTTGAAAAGCCATCACTTCATAAAGTTAATAAAAATACAACCATTTCTTGTCAGTTTTTTGTTTTAATGGTAAAAAATTGTAGTTTAAGACTCGATTTTACCAAAAAAATGCACCGATTAGTTTTTACATAAGACAATGTTTAATATCAGAAGTAAATATTTTTAATGAGGTAATTCAAATACCTCTCTTAAAGGCACAACATTTGTATTTATTTTTTTAAATCTTTTGATCATCTTTGTTTCCCCAAGATTATAAGGAGCTTATTTGCATTTTGTCTCAATTCACTACTGAATACCACAATAATTGAATGCGTTTTGTTTTTCTTTTGTTTTCAGAGGAAGGAGTTGGAAGACTTTAAAGAGAGGATGCGTGTTCGAAAGGAGCAACAGTTATTAAAAAAAATGAATGAAAATTGAAGATTTTGTGTTTTGGGAAAATGTATGTTATTATAATGGGGGCAGATGGATCACTACAGTTCAGAACCAGACCACAGTGCAACCGAAAGATTGGCAAGGCTAACATGATTGAATGCATACTTGACAATTTTTGAGGATTAATCTTACCCATAATGCCAGATGTTCTTAAATTTATTAATGACATACTTTTTTATAAAATATTTCTTATATGTTTGAATTGTTTTCCCTTGTAATATCTGTATTACTTTAGGGTTTATTTTCTGTGACTGCAGTTTATTTTGTAAAGTGTAATGCTGTTAAAATATAAAAACTGGGAAATAGAAAGAAATAGAAAAAATGTGCTTTATTTATTTTTCTGAATTGTATACTGACCCACAAGAGCAGTTAATTGGCAGAATTTTTGGCATGGTATTAACTTTAAAAGATTAATTTATTTGAAGTGATATAGTTCTGTTAGGTTTGTCACAAGAAGTATTAAGACTGATTTCTTTGAACTTGCAATTCACCAACAAAATTCCATAAAAAACTTGTGTAATTCATTCATATTTTATTGCATTTGCTTCAGTGTGTGCAGTTGGAAAGATTATTGGTTCCATTATGGATGGGCTTAATGCAATTTGTTTAAAGCTTGAAGGATTTTTCTAGAAATACAATTCAAAGGTATATTATAGGTTTGGTAAAAAAAACATTGGAACTTTGGGGATTATAAATATATAAATTAAAACAGGTTTAAATTAACATATTCCATACACTGAGGGAGAAATTAGTTTATTTCATTGATTAAAACTGCAATTTAAAGTAGTCTTGGGAGTGAGAAATTCTACCTATTATCAAAATGATTGAAGCTGAGTAAGTTTTTAAAAAAAAATCAGTTTTCTTACGATCAGGAAAACTACTTGTAATAGTTGTATACGTTACAACTAAAGTCTTCTTCCAGTAACATTTATACTTGATTGATGTGCTGTATATTGGCTGCTTATTATTTTTCTTATGAGGTGCTTTAAAGTTTTTCTATTGTCAGAAATAAGATTACATCATGCACCAACTTACAGTAACCCATTGATCAGTATAAATAAAATAGAGAGAATTGTGATTCCTTGTAAAAACCACCTAATATTTTGGATGTTCCTCTACAGCTATGAAGAGCTGAGATTATTTGATGATGAATAGCTGTTGACAAGTGTTTCCTGAAGCTCAGTAGATGGCTGCCTTTGACATATTTTGGCAGTGGGAAGTGCCCAGCTGACTTTCTTTTAGAATGACTGCACTTATTTTTTTTTTTTTTTCGATATATTTATTTATAGATAGATAGATAGATAGATAGATAGATAGATAGATAGATAGATAGATAGAAGAGAAATAGGTATTTGGTACGTGTAATTTTAGAAGGGGTGGAGACCAGGAGACTAATTCACGCAATGCTCAATATTGCCGCTAGGTGGCAATATTGTGCTTTCCAAAGCTGTGCTCTTGAACCATGAGGAAGTGAATGGTCTTGTAAAAGTACACTCCTGTCAAGATGGCACCGAGTGGTTTGAAAGCGGTAGTTGGCGACAGTAAGTAAAACATTAGTTTTAAGTTATAAGGTTTTAAAGCGTAATTTAAATTGACTAGGTGATTTAGATTGTTTGCCCGTGTCAGATAAATCCCAGGAGCTTAACGTCATAATAAAACCGTGTATTTCAAATGCCTCTTCCTGTTTTAATCTCAATTAAACCCTTCTACAAACCATGGGAGCGGTATTAAAACAACTTTAAAAGGCCTCGCTGTACATATTGAGATATATTTTTCGTATTTTTATGAGAGGTTTATGGCTGTTTCTTGTGACATAGGTGTACTGTGTGTGTGGGGGGGAATTAAGTGCGACAGCAGACGTTGTAGGCTAACACTTGCTAGCTTTGGTTATAGGAAGTTCGTCGAGTTTGTTTAAAATGAGTTCATTAAAAAATACATATAGTTGTATTAATAAAACTCATTCACAATGTCATCATTTTCTCACCTGTTTTTTCGTCATGTCTGTCTTGAGTTACGGGGCAAAACAGTCAGGTTTTTAGTATGTGGAAATATTTTATGGTTCATTATTTACAATTTAGCACAATAGGAAACTTGGGTTTCATTTTCAATCAGGTGTTTGTCTTCATACGATTACACTTTACAAGTAAGGATTATTTTTGTTTTCTTTTATTCTCAAAAATGTTGATTATTAGAAGCCAAACCTTGCTCTAAATATCATTTTGTTTATGAAGGTGGCATGAAATTTGCATTTTTCTTTTTTATTTTGTATTTTATTTCAGAAAAGCAGATGGCTACACTTCCTGATACTCTTAGGCAATGAACTACTATTTTAGAACTATTTTAGTATCTGGTGGTAATAATGGTAACCAGTGGAAAAAATCTATTATTAAGCTATTTCTGTAATCATTATTTATGAAAACTGATGGTTATTCTATAGTAACACATCCTTAAACCTAATAGCATGGTCAAGGACCCATGACAAATTTTTTAACTCCTAATAGGCAATTTTACTTAATTTTCATGATTTGTCCAAACAGTCACTGTTGTATTATTGACTTTAATCAACATGAAATGTTTTACTGTTTCTTAAATAGTAAGCATCGAAGCAAATCCTTTAATTAACCAACAAACTCGTGAAAAGAAAAAAAGCTTTATCAAAGATGCATTACTTTGTCACTTTCACATACATAAAATATATGTATTTTGTCCTACAGAAATCTTGAATGGGGTCATAAAGAGTGTAAAGAAAGACGGAGAATGGAAGGTAACCATAAAATAGCTGTTTTATTTATTTTTTTTCTCCCCACACAGCACTTTAGTGACACTGACCTTTGCTATGTCCTCCTACAGGTTTTAATTGTGGACCACATGACCATGAGAATTCTGTCCTCATGTTGCAAGATGTCAGACATTTTGGCCGAGGGTGTGACCAGTGAGTGTGCAGACTTGTCCTGCGATGCTATGTTAATGCCTGCCTTTGATTTATAATTCAGACGTTGAAGATCTTTGTTTATAATAAATTAATCCTACTAAACTTTATTATAAAAAAGAAAATTTAATGACCCTTTTTTAGATAAAAGGAGCTCATAATATTCTTTTTAACAAAATTCCCTGTCATTTTCCTAGATGACTAAACAAGCAGAATGATTATGCACCATTTTCTTTTAAAAAAAAATGTATGGGGTGTTATTGAGTTGTTGGCATTTAGATTAACTGAAGTTTTCTGTCTTCCTTTTAGTTGTGGAGGACATCAACAAACGCAGGGAACCAATCTCAAGTTTGGAGGCCATTTATTTGATTACACCAGTGGAGAAGGTAAACTTTTTGACATCATGGATTCTATTTGATACCATCCTTTAAGTAATTTTTTTCTTGCTCAAAGTTGATTTGAATAAAAAAGCTATTTTTTTTTTCTCCCTAATTACAGTCAGTTCGTGCTCTAATCAACGACTTTAAAGATGCAGCATTTACTTACAGAGCAGCTCACATCTTTTTCACTGACAGTAAGCAGCAATCATTTCTAAATACTGGAAGCCCTGTAGTCTTATTCTTATTTCAAGATGCATTAGAGTAACAGCTAATATATTAAAATAAGAAATTAACTTTTAACAAAGTTGTCTTTATCTGGTGTGATGGTTTGTTTCCTGTTTTTCATAGCCTGTCCTGATGGTCTCTTTGCTGAGATTGGGAAATCCAGAGTAGCTAAGGTTGCTAAGACTTTAAAAGAGATTAACGTTGCATTCCTGCCCTATGAGTCTCAGGTTAGTAAATTCTTCTTGAATTAATCGTTATTTGTTTTGTTTCTCCTCCATTTCCTAGAAAAAATATTCTTCTTAGACAGACTTTGTCATTTTGTACTCACAGACTGTATACAAAAATAAATTTTGTTCAGTACAGCTTTCAAGACATTTACATTGTTAAAATACAGCAGTGATAAAAAGTAAGCAGCATTGATAAAATGTTAACATATGACTGTATATTATTTATAGTTTCCAACATTTAGTTTTTTGTTTTGTTTTTTTTCCACCCATATATTCTATTTCTTAAATACTTTTCAGTTCCTCTTAAACTGTACTGTTGGTGTTGGAGAGGAAGCCCACAGTAGACGTTTCCAGGGCTTTGGATGATCAAGTCTTAAATTAACTGTTATTGGGTTATTATTAGAGATTAGATAGCAAACCATTTTTTCAAGCAGAGATGATAAATAGTCTTGCGTATTTGGTGGTTTACAATACAATGCATGTTGTGCTACAGCTGTGTATTAATTATGCACATTTGACAAAAAAGATTTTTCTTTTTCACCCCTTTAGGTTTTCTCCCTGGATGATCCAGAATCTTTGTCCTCATTCTACAGCTCAGAAAAAAGCAATGATAGAAACAAAATGATGGAAACTGTTGCAGAACAAATTGCAACATTGTGTGACACACTTAATGAGTACCCTGCAGTCAGATACCGCAAGTATGAAAACCATACTGTACATACATTTTAAAATTGGTTCGCTATTCTGTTTTCTTGCTGATTTTGTGATAATTGTGTTAATTATTTTTTATCATTTCCCTCCCAAGGGGACCAGAAGAAAATGCTAAATTGGCTAATGAGATATATGCACGCCTTGATGCTCACAAAGCAGATAACCCGAAAATGGGAGAGGTTAGTGAATATTAAGTTCAGTAGATTTTTGCCTTTATTATTTTTTTGACATTTCTTTGGTTTTTGGGTTTAATTTTTACATTATATAATTTTTTTCACAAGCTTTGCTGAACCTTTCCCTTTTTTTCCTCCTATTTTCTGTCTTTCTTAGTTCAAAATTTCCTTTCTTTCAGGATGAATCTTAACAGGCATGTATCTCTGCACTTTTCTCTATTTGCTTCTACAATGAAAACTGAATTTCATAAGCATGCAATCCAAGCATTTGGTTTCTTTACATGTATCATAACTGCATGTTTTCTTAAATGCCGCTTGTTGTTGAGATTTATAGAATTTGAAAGCATGACACATTTCTTTTACTTTTTTTTTTTTTTTTATATATATAAAAGGGTCCAGATAAGGCTCGATCTCAATTGCTGATTGTTGATCGTGGGTTTGATCCCATCTCACCTGTTCTGCATGAGCTGACCTTCCAAGCAATGGCTTACGACTCGCTAGATATCAAACAAGACATCTATACGTATGTCAACATTTGACTGCTATTTGCCACAATTTATTTTTTGTTGATAAATCTGTTGTAGTCTTTCCCCTGAAGATTTGTTTTCTAAAGTTGCTTTTCACATTAGTTGAATATTTCCGAAATATTTTAACATTATTTGTTTGTTTTTAACCGTCATCAAGTTATCAGTCTACCGGAATTGGGAATTCCAAACCGAAAGAAGTTTTACTGGATGAAGATGATGAGCTCTGGGTTCAGCTTCGACATATGCACATTGCAGATGTAACAAAGTGAGTATTGTTTTGTGTAGTAGCTAGATGTAGATCCCACTGTGAAACATTTTCACACACTTCTGATTATTTGCTTCCACTTGATTTTGTTATTAAAAAAATATAGTAGAGGGATACACATTTGCTGCAAAGACAAAAATGAATCTTGCAATAGCAAAAAAAAAAATAATAATAATAATATTTTAATAAGGTTTGCAAAAACACACAACACATGCCGAGGAAAAATGCTGTAGGTAGCAAAAAATATTTAAAAGTCAACAGAAGCTGCAAATTAGCTCCACATACCAGAGGTGCTCCAGACCACTAGGGGGGGACATTCACCTAAACATATGGGACCAGACCACAGACACTACTAATTGTTTCTGGACCAAACCATAGCAAAATCATTAACATAGTGATTGCCCAGAGGATATTTGTTGTTAAGAAATAAAAGGCATGTTTTCCTTTGAATATTTTCAAAAACTTAATTTCTCTGTGCATTCAGTTTATGTATTTACTAAAAATGTAGTCCCAAATAAGGTTGTCTTCCCCCTTGTTATTTAGAGCACACTAGAGCCATCCAGAGCTAGTTCACTGCTTTCTTCACTTGTAGTTGTTTTTTACTTTGCATGTGTTTTATTTTTGCAGCAGGTTTTGTATTTGGTGTGTTTTAAGTTTGCTGATCTGTTTTCTGGGATTGCAGCATTTCACTCTTTCTGTTGAATTTTGTTTTTAGTTTTTTTTCCTTTGCATGCGGTTTGTGTGTTGGGCATACAGAAAAATTAGTCTATCTCTTTCTTTGTTACTCATTGTATGTTCTGCAAATTGTGTTTCCACCTCCAGGCCATTGTAATTTTGACATTTGATGAAATAAAAATGGTAAATTTTAAAACCTTATTGTGTTAAACTACCACTACAATATTATAAATCATATAAAATATCAGAATTACCAAAAAATTGACAGGAATCTAAACAATACATTTATAGATTTATGGCTTGGAAATTTTGAGTACAAGAAATATTATTTCATGTTATTAATCTTGTGACTAACTTCTAACCCGTTATTGCAGGAAAGTGACAGAACTGCTCCGAACATTTTGTGAAAGCAAGCGAATGAGTACTGATAATGTAAGTGAATACCTAACTTTGTTGATGGTTTCAGGGAAAATTATTTTTTTGTAGTACATGTTTTTAATATTTACTACTTTTCTTGTATTCAGGCCAATATAAAAGATCTTTCTCAGATGCTAAAGAAGATGCCACAGTACCAAAAGGAGCTCAGCATGGTGAGAATCTTTCTACTTTCTTTTTACTAGAAGCTACTTTTGTAGCTTCTACCTCTTCTACCTGGCTCCTATTCCCTCACATGTCAATTTTAACAGATCAAATTCCAGGGGATGTAGGTGGCTCTGCACAGCCCTCAACCATAAATATTAATTATACTCATTGTTACTTGACAGCCATTATATCAAAATTTTGGCCTTCTGGAAAATTACTACACGAAAATGAAAATTACAGAAATGTAGCGAGCTTATTCGTTATAAACCCCAAAACACCTGAAGGTGTGTATATAAATTCATGTGTCACAAAAAACAAGGTACAATGTGTTTGCTAAACATTGTGAGGTGGGATGTGCCTACACATCCTTCCATGGAATAGACGGTGGGAAATCTATATGTTTGGAACATCAGGAGGTTTTTATGCTAACTGCATTTACAGCACATTTTTTTTCCTTTCTTGCTCCTTATTTCCAGCACTGTTCTAATACAGGTGCTGGTCATAAAATTAGAATATCATGAAAAAGTAGATTGATTTCAGTAATTCCATTTAAAAAGTGAAACTTGTATATTATATTCATACATTACATACAAACTCATATATTTCAGATGTTTATTTTGTTTAATTTTGATGATTACAAATGACAACAAATGAAAATCTCAAATTCATCATATCAGAAAATTAGAATATTGTGAAAAGGTTCAAAATTGATGGCCCCTGGTGCCACACTCTAATCAGCTAATTAACTCAAACCACCTGCAAAAGCCTTAAAATGGTCTTTCAGTCTAGTTCTATAGGCTACACAATCATGGGGAAGACTGCTGACTTGACAGTTGTCCAAAAGACGACCATCGACACCTTGCACAAGGAGGGCAAGACACAAAAGGTCATCGCTAAAGAGGCTGGCTGTTCACAGAGCTCAGTGTCCAAGCACATTAATAGAGAGGCGAAGGGAAGGAAAAGATGTGGTCAAAAAAAGTGTACAAGCAAGAGAGATAACCGCACCCTGGAGAGGATTGTGAAACAAAACCCATTCAAAAATGTGGGGGAGATTCACAAAGAGTGGACTGCAGCTGGAGTGAGTGCTTCAAGAACCACCACACACAGACGTATGAAAGACATGGGTTTCTGCTGTCGCATTCCTTGTGTCAAGCCACTCTTGAACCACAGACAGCGTCAGAAGCGTCTTGCCTGGGCTAAAGAGAAACAGGACTGGACTGCTGGTGAGTGGTCCAAAGTCATGTTCTCTGATGAAAGTAAATTTTGCATTTCCTTTGGAAATCAAGGTCCCAGAGTCTGGAGGAAAAGAAGAGAGGCACTTCATCCACGTTGCTTGAAGTCCAGTGTAAAGTTTCCACAGTCAGTGATGGTTTGGGGTGCCATGTCATCTGCTGGTGTTGGTCCATTGTGTTTTCTGAGGTCCAGGGTCAACGCAGCCACATACCAGGAAGTTTTAGAGCACTTCATGCTTCCTGCAGCTGACCAACTTTTTGGAGATGCAGATTTCATTTTCCAACAGGACTTGGCACCTGCACACAGTGCCAAAGCTACCAGTACCTGGTTGAAGGACCATGGTATCCCTGTTCTTAATTGGCCAGCAAACTCTCCTGACCTTAACCCCATAGAAAATCTATGGGGTATTGTGAAGAAGAAGATGCAATACACCAGACCCAACAATTCAGAAGAGCTAAAAGCCACTATTAGAGCAACCTGGGCTATCATAACACCTGAGCAGTGCCACAGACTGATCGACTCCATGCCACGCCGCATTGCTGCAGTAATACAGGCCAAAGGAGGCCCAACTAAATACTGAGTGCTGTACATGCTCATACTTTTCATGTTCATACTTTTCAGTTGGCCAACATTTCTATAAATCCTTTGTTTTTATTGGTCTTCAGTAATATTCTAATTTTCTGATATGATGAATTTGAGATTTTCATTTGTTGTCATTTGTAATCATCAAAATTAAACAAAATAAACATCTGAAATATATGAGTTTGTATGTAATGTATGAATATAATATACAAGTTTCACTTTTTAAATGGAATTACTGAAATTAATCTACTTTTTCATGATATTCTAATTTTATGACCAGCACCTGTAGTAGTTCTTCCGTGACTTCAGTGTCCTTACTGATTCAGATGTAGACATTGTCAGCACTGTGTTCGAACTTTCACTGTGTCCAAAGGGAAGGGAAAAATCATAGACCATCACTGCAATAATATCTGTTTTTTATATTAAGGCATCCCTATGTTTTGATGTTTTCTTCATGGAATCTAATTTTTACACTATTTTCTTCACAGTACTCTACTCATCTGCACCTTGCTGAAGCCTGTATGCAGAAATTCAAAGCCTCTCTTGATAAACTCTGTGAAGTGGAGCAGGTTAGTACGGAATGTTTAATTGGCACTGAGCATTTATATACATCTTTAACACTGTTGTATTATTTCAATAGCCCTGTTGTTTTTTTTTACAAATGTATAAATAAAATTGGAGCCAAATCTTCTTTGCAGTTTTTTTTTTTATCTAAAAGGCAATGATTGGCTAGAGAATTTAAGCATTCCATGAACTCTTGGACCTCAGCTTGTCTTGTCGGCATACTTTGTTTTTGTTGCTGGGTATACTCTGGTACTATGATGAATGGAGAACCATCAGTGTGTTGCATAATAAGCTTGGGAGCAGCAGAAGCCATTCACATGTTTATAGAAATGCAAGAAGCTGTTACATAATAGCAATGAGTTGATATGAATTTAGTGCTCACATACTACATACTGCTCTATTAATTTATCTGTCTGTTGGAGCTGGGAGTGAAGCCACAATCCAATACTGGACCACAGTGTTTTGTATGTGCCAGACATACACCCACAGGGGATGTGCCATGCCAGATTTAGTTTGCCAGATGAATATCAAGCACAGAGGAAACAAAGTTCATGGCATAGTTTTAGTATTATGGGATGCAAGTGTTAATGGCTGCTTTTCCTATGACCACATCGCTCAACTGTGCTAATGGATTTTCAGCATCTCTTAAAGCTGATTATTTAATCCAGCAGGCATGTTTTTGGCTTTAAGATGAACAGCCTGGTCCAAACACCAACAGTTCTCTCAGCTGTCATTTGTTTAAAGCGTTTGGCAAACCAACAAACCCTTGATGCATTGCTGCAGACTAATATTTACTAGAGGGAGATTTCTAGTCTGTCCCAACCTTCTTTTTACAAAGCCACACAATTTAATGGAAATATAATATTCTCTTTTAAGTTCATATTATTTAATGCTAGAATGAGCCTTTATTTAGTTAGGACAGCTAAAGAAAAGGGATCAGTGGTTTTGTTGACCATTGAGTTGATGGATTTTATTTATTTATTTTTTCAGTTGTAGGCAGTGTTTAACTGAATATATTCTACAGGACTTGGCAATGGGAGCAGATGCAGAGGGGGAACCTCTAAAAGATGCTATGAAGAGCATCGTTCCTGTTCTGCTCAACAGTGACATTGGAGCCTATGACAAAATCCGCATCATACTGCTGTATATTTTCCACAAGAAAAAAGGTATGCCATGGCATATTCTAATTCATAAAAAAGTTTGATAGCTACAAGTTTAACCCCTTCTGGCCTGTTCTTGTTCTTTACTGTTCGCCAGCCCTGCAAATGCTAACGGCTAGCATTAGCAAATATTTGACATGCCTGTTCAGAGAGCAGCAATCTCTGCATGGCTTCTAAGCCTCATTGCCTTAAGTTGGCAGTAATACTCAAAAGCTTCACCGATGTTCACCCACATTTTTGGCTCTTTTCAGTTATTTATGTATTTCTATTTTTCTTTTGCTTGAATCTGTGAAATGTAATATTACGACATTTCTTAGCTCTATCCATTTGGATCTGTCAAAGCCTGAGCTGTATGTATCGTGGCTTCAACCTGTATTCCTATTGGTCTATTCCTATTATGTTAAGATTGGCATCATAACCAAAAGTAAATATTTATAAATTTTGGACTTGTCAAAATGTTTAAAACACTTAATTTTTTTTCTGTGAAATTAATAATTTTATTCTGCACCACTCTAAACTTTCTATCGATGTATTATTTTTGGAAAACTTATTGTTTTGATGAAAACATAGTAGGCATGACCTTTTAATTAACTCCATGAGCTAAGTCATGTGTTTTTGTTTATCCAGGGCTTTGCATTTTTTTTTTTTTTTTTTGAAGGCTTTAACCATATTTACATCTGACTCACTGTATTTAGGCATTGGGGAGGAGAACCTTACCAAGCTCATCCAGCATGCAAATATAGCAGAGGACAGCAAAATTATCTACAACATGCAAAACCTTGGCTGTAACATTATCGCTGGGGTAAATTTCCAAATACAACCAAAGTTTTACCTTCAGGTTTTCACTCTGCTGTTAATAATATTGTACCTCTCTCTCATTTTTGAACACAAATTATTTTCTATTAGGGCCGCAATGCTGCCAACGTGCTGCCAGAACGCAAGGAGCGTCTGGAGAGTACATACCAACTCTCTAGATGGACACCCATCATTAAGGACATCATGGAGGTATTAGTGCTGAAGTTTTTATTTTTTTATTTTTTTTATATATATATTTATCTTATTTTGGTGTTCTGTTTTGCAGAATGCTATAGAAGACAAGCTGGACAGGAAGCAGTGGCCATTCATCGCTAATCCAGCACCAATCAACACAACCCAGACTGCAGTCAGGTGAGTCTCTTAAAACCAGTTTAATGCTACATTCACACCATATGCGATTGAAGAAGCTGGTGTACATGCAAAGTTAATGGTTTACGCACATTAAGAAGCATCAAAAAGTCCTGCCGTGCGTCTCAAGCAGTAAGAGCGGCGCATCTTGACGCATGTGAGCAGCCAAACCAGCGCCTCATGACATTATGCACATGTGACGGGCATGACGTGCTTCACAATTAGCAGCTGATGGAGTTGAAAAAAATGAAACTTGCTGCTCGATGCACCACATCAACCAATCAAAGCAGCTGATCTGGGAGCTGGCAGGGAGACAGACACAGCACGGCTGATTCAGAGCGCCATCATCACTCCCCTGAAACAGTTTAATGCCTAAATTAACATCGAATGCCAAAAGCTGCCAGGAAATTATGTTCGCTTGTATTAGTCTGGTGCCTGCAGTTTGTACCACATACCTGAAAAATGCTAACATCTACTTCCAGCTGCGACGAACAGTAGCAGAAACCCCCTGGCTTAGGAATTCTCAATGACGGCGCCGCTTATATGTGGGGATCTGAATAAAATTTGAAGGCAGGATCGTAGTCTTGAACTTTTGAGCTGGACTTTCTCGGCTAAAAATATACAGGGTTCGTACGGGTGCTGGCAATCCTTGAAAATGCTTGAATTTTGACGTTGTGTTTTCAAGGTTTGAAAAGTACTTACATTTTGGATGAAATGCTTGAAATTGTGACTATTTCTTTCGCAACAAATATCTATCTAACTGAATCGTGTGTTTATTAAATGGAGAAATGTTGCAGAGCCCGAAAATGAAACCTGCTCGCTTATGTGTGACTGCGAACTGCCAGTCTATTTCCATGTGTGACTCCGCCCCCATGAAATCACTACGGCACCATGCCGGGAGGTTGTCGTTTCAATGAACGTTGGCTGGAAGATGAAAAATACAAATTATGGATTAAACGGGGACAAACCCCACCAGTTGCCTCTTGTAAAGTCTGCAAAAAAGATGTGCAGCTTTTCACAATGGGCGAGTCTGCGCTCTCGAGTCACATGAAGGGTAAGTCATAGTGACTGAGAGTACGGTGTGATAATGTAATGTTAGTATTACAGTGTTTCCCGCAGCACTATCTTGGCGAGGCGGCCGCCTCGCCAAACTCACGCTACCGCCTCGCCAACGTTCCAAAAAAACAAACAAAAAAAACCCCCGAAGTTTTAATTCATTGCCAGGCCCAGACCTTAAAACAGCATTGATAACTCTACGGCTTATATTACTACGCCAAGGCAGAGGAGTAATTTTCTTTGATCATCCGAGGAGACGTGTGGGGGGAAAAAAACGTGTTCGTCGTCTTCATCATCGGTGAACTATATGTGGAAACAGGGGCGGATTTAGGAAATTTGGGGCCCTAGGCAAAGACAGGCATGGGGCCCTCTGAATTGAGAAGACAACATATAGAACAGACCCATTATACAGATACAGAAATTTTAATAGAATAGAAATTTGAGGATGTCATGTATCTAAGTTTGTCTATGTCACTGTAACTTGGAGGAAAGAATCTCTCTCTCACATATATATATATATATATATATATATATATATATATATATATATATATATATATTAGTGCTGTTAAAATTTGCGCGTTATTATCGCGTTAACGCGAGGCCATTTTAACGGCGATAATTTTTTTAACGTGAGATTAACGCTATGTGGTTTTGTGGTACAATTTTCCAAGTACATCCCGCTGCAGCCTGCTGGAAGGCGTGGCTATTTCCCCCCAGTCTATGCATTTCTCATAGGCTTCGAGAGCGGAGAGCTCCTCAAGGGAAAAAGACGCTCATACACTGGGTGACGCTAGTGCCTTTTCTTTAAGCCCCACCACCAACAAACAAGTTGAGTGTCTGGTAACTAGTAGCAACCTGGAATACGCTGAGAAAACAGATTACTGAGGTGAAATGGAATCTGCTACGGCACTATTGCTGTCTGTGTACGCCACAGGTCGGTATCGTGTGTGTGTGTGTGTCTGTGGGTGGGTGGGTGTGTCTGTGTGTGGGTGTGTGTGTGTTCTAGGGCTGCAACTAACGATTATTTTAAAAATCGATGAATCGGCCGATTATTTTTTCGATTAATCGATGAATCGGACAAAAAAAAATTTTTTATATTAACCTCTTTATTCCAAAATAAACATTTTAGACAGAACAAACAAGCACACAAGTACAGGTTGCTCATTAACTGTACTGGTGCAATATGAAAAATAAATGTTTGTGTAAACACTACGCAAACTTACATGAGAAATGTAGCTGTACATCCACAAAATATAGGCTACTTTGGTTCATAAAGCGCAAAAAGAGACAGGCATTTTTGTTTTTTAAAGCCCCTAAGGGGTTCAACAATAGGTCCCCCCATTTCAAGAAATGAGTTTTTTTTAGACTAGAAGAGTTCTGCCTTTTAAGACAGGAAAGTATAGCAGTTAAAGTTGCTGCTTGAGAAAATACTGAACCATAGAGATAAAAATAGCCCTGTGATTCAAATTATAAATTGTATTTGGAATAAAAATGAGAGAACTAGGGGTGGTAAAAAAACACATCCTCCAAAGACAGATATTTACATGGGAATGTGGCAGATAATTAATTGACATATTACTGATCTTGCTGGATTTTGTTCTGCTTTACTTCCATAAATTGCAGGATCTTCTTTTCTTTATCTTTGCCAGAAGATTTAAACTTTAAAAGCCTTGCCCTCATAATTTGCAAGTTAATTTATTTATAAAGAAAATATAAACGCTGCTTAAACAAATGTAAATGAGATTAAAAGTAAAATAAGTAGCCAACCATATCCCTGTCTGTAACCTACTAACAAGGTAAGGAAAGCATCAGATGAGCTACCTGAGAAACTAACGTTACGTTTCCCCACTTTAAAACCAAACAAACATGGTTACTCATCCTGCTGATCAGCTCTCTTCACTGCCATCGAAGGCTCCAAAGTGTTTTCTTTTCAGGTGCTGCGTCATAACAGTGGTGCTTCCGTGCCATGTTAATTTCTTTTGAAAAAAGTTGCATGTTATCACTTTTTTCACTTTACAAAGCGCAGGCTATTTTAATTATTGTGATCAATTTGCGCCGTCAATCCCGGCGCATGCGCGCTTCATTTGCAGTCTGGACGCTGAGGGTAAACTCCTCACTAAAATCCTGCGGCTCTGACTGCCGCGCTGAGAGGGATTCCTGTGGGAGAGGGAGAAAGGCGTTGGGATGGGGGAGGCGCCCCACGGCAGGCAAAAGCCGCCAGTGACACCGTAAAAAGTCGCCAGATTTGTCGCTAGTTGCTTTTTTGAAAAATAGTCGCTGGAGGGGTCTGAAAAGTCGCTGAGTTGGCAACACTGCAACTGCGGCGCTGACTCGCTCCGCCATATTTTTTTTTCTTCCCCCGGATGACGGCGGCGGCGGATGACGCATTAATCGCGCGACACAACTAATCGATGATTAAATTCGTTGCCAACGCTTTTAAAAGTCGATTTTTATCGATTTTATCGATTCGTTGTTGCAGCCCTAGTGTGTTCTCATTTTTGTTAAGAGGCTGAAAAGTAACTTTCTAGAGCATAGACTACCTCCATCTAGTGATGTCGTCTATTGATTTTGATGTATTGATTGAAAATTGTTCATTATTATCTTGGTTAATTAACATCTAATGTTAACTGTACTACATTTTATAGCAGTAGGGTAAAATTCTTGTCTTTGTTCAAAAGACTGTATTAACTGTAAAGACTGTCTTTTACATCAGCCTGTTTTCAGGGCCTTTTTTTTTGGCTACATATTTGTTATTTTTTGCTACATGCCTCCCCATCTTCTTGCCATATGTTTCTATGGCATAAATCAGTGTCTGTGACCTGTTTTCATTTTAAAAAAAGAACATTGGCACAAACCTAGCCTGTATGTATTTTTTGTATGTCATCGAGAGTATTTAAATGATTTTCAATCAGAAAAAAAATTTGCGATTAAAATGCGATTAATCGCGAGTTAACTCAGGCATTGATGCGATTAAAAAAATTTAATCGATTAACAGCACTAATATATATGTGTATGTATGTATGTATATATATATATATATATATATATATATATAATGTATGTGTGTGTGTATATATATAATGTATGTGTGTGTGTATATATATAATGTATGTGTGTGTATGTATATATATAATGTATGTGTGTGTGTATATATATAATGTATGTGTGTGTGTATATGAATAAATAAAAGGTGCATGTCACAGGAAAGACTAGTGTTGTTACAAATATGACAATTTCTTAAACTACAAAACAGTAAATTATTTAATCTATAATTAATGTGACCCTTAACATCCCCAGCTGTACACAATAACACACACACTCCGCTACGCTGCGCTCCAGACCGCCTGCACAAAGCAAAGCCTACATGCCGCTGTGGCTCCCGTCCGCTCCGCTCTGAGTTCCTTGGAGATCGTAGAGGGCATGCGCGAGATGAACCAGGGTTTCCGCGGATCATTAAAAATAATTACAATTCATAATTTCTTTTTTAAATCAAGGCCTTAATTGGCTCTAAAATTAATTAAATATGTTTATCGTGGATGTGGAACAGATCTCATTGATTTACATGAAAGACAAGCGCTCCGCATGACGTACGTCAGCGGGGCAGAGTGGAGCGCTGACGGAGTATGTGGAATCTGGGGGGAAGTCAGTCATTTTTGGTAACTTTGAAAGCAGCTTCCTACTTTCATTCTTCTTTTTCCTCTTTTCAGCACCGCTAGGGTAACTTCTTTTCATCTTTCGTTCCTTTCTTTTCTCTTCTCCCCCCCTCTGCTCGTATCGTCTCTTCGCGCCGTTTGTTTTCAAATAGTTTGCTGCCGTGTGTTTGGACCTTTCTGCCCATGCGCAGCAAATTAACTGAACCAATGTAGTGGACACTGTAGGGAGGGCCCGAGACACACTTAACATAAGCATTCTAACGGCATTTTAGTCAAAGGATTTTTATCAAAAACATAATTAATGTGCACAAATAAGTAATAGCTGTTTTAACCATACATGTAAAAGGAGTTTTAGGGGGCCCCACAGGAACTCGGGGCCCTAGGCAACTGCCTAGTTTTGCCTAATGGTAAATCCGCCCCTGTGTGGAAAGGTATGTAGTTAATTAAAACTGGTATTAGAAAATAAAGATGCGCCTTGTTTTTAGTTTTGTGTATTCATTTTGACCCCCCCACCCCCCCCCACCCCCACCCCGGCTGTCATCCGCACAAAACTGGTTCCATAGGGTGCTGGAAAAAGTTTTAAAATGGATCTTGAAAGTGCTTGAAAAGTGCTTGATTTGACTTTGGAAAAGGTGTACGAACCCTGAATATAATAAAACAATTTTTTACCAGCTTATCACAGCAAGTATAGCAAAGCCGCACTCTACCATTGAATACAGGGACAGCAGAAGTATCAGACGCATCTGGACACAATTTACTGGACACGCATCAAGAGCATCAAGGATGCTCTAGACACGCGTCTGACCCTATGTGGAATGGAAATGTCATGAAAGCTGTACAGAACGGAATTTCATTTTGTATACACTCTGTGTATACAATATGACGATACAAATTGTCTGTCTTAATATGTACAATCTTCAAAAATTAAGCAACAGGTGATTTTTTTTTTTGCTGCCCAAAGCGCATGCGGTGTGAACATGGCATAAGAGTAGCAGAGTTTAGAACAGCATGACAAAAACTGACATGTTTTCCAGCGAACTCCTTTAAAGAGAAGTGTCATTATGTTTGAATTAAACTATGTATCCAGTAATGCCCAATAAAAGCTTTTTATCCCTGTAACTAAATTTAAGTCAAGCTTTTGATGGATTAAGTTAGAAAGCCCAAAAAAGGACGGTTTACTCTAAATGCACTGCAATCCATTAGGGAATTCTCATCATGATTATGCTTTCTCTACAAACTACGGTCCATATTTAATGGATAATCTGCCTAATGCACAATATTTTCGTTGTTTAGCTTGAAGTAAATTGAAGCATTAAATGTGAATAAATCTACATTAAAGTATTGTTGCACAAAACTAGACAAGATAGGTCAACTATGTTAAATTTGACATGTGGACCATTATGAAACAGATTTAGTATGATGCGGAAATATTTATTATAAAACATGTTTATTAACCTCTAACAAACAATTCATGCATTATGCGAAATGTTACTTGTTGCTAAATAATTTTCCTTCTTTTTTTATTTTTAAATCTACAGTAGTGCCCGTTTTGGAAACTGGCACAAAAATAAGTCTCCAACAGAATATCGCTCCGGCCCTCGCTTGATTGTTTTTATGATTGGAGGAGTGTCTCACTCAGAGATGCGCTCTGCTTATGAAGTCACTCGAAGCACTGAAGGAAAATGGGAAGTGCTTATTGGTGAGCTTTTTTTGTTGTTGTTTTTTTTTTGTTTTTGTTTTTTTTTGCTATCTAGTTATTCTTAAGTTTGTTTCTGCAACAAAGTTCCAAGCTTTTCCTAATCATCAATTATTCTTTTGACAGGGTCCTCTCACATCCTGACTCCAAACACCTTCCTTGATGACTTAAAGGGTCTGAACTAAGTTTCCTATTTCAGATGTTAGTCCTTGAGCAGGGTTTTTCATTTGACTGGTTGCTGGTAATCTGTCTGTAATTCTTCAATAACTTAATTTGAATATGAAGGTACCTTTTAGATTTCACCATGGAAGGAAACAACCTGTTCTATAACGCTTATTTTATTTTTGATGGGATTTTTTCCCATTCATTAGATTTCTATGTTCTTTGATTAAAAATATGATATATTTATATAGATATTTGAGGTATTTTGATCAACCTTTTATCAGCCAAAATCGGTTTGATTTGTCAAGAAATGTACTCCTATATTAAATGGTGTATTTAGAGGAAATGTAACTTAATGGCATTGCAATTAAATTAAAAGAATATATTGGTTTGAAGCATGGATGAAGACTTAGTAAATATTTTCTCAAAGGATTTTTTTTTTTTTTATGTGTAGGAAACTAACTTGGAGAGTCTCAACTGCTGTAATGAAATATTGAACAACTTAATATATATCGCTGGAAACTTGTGGGGTTGGTGTTTTTTTTTTCTTCCTTTTTTCCTAAATTAAATAAAGATACATAAAATTAATGTTTGAGCTTTTTTGGACCTTCACCTGATCTAAATTTGTCATTTCCTTCTTTTTACTTCTGTGAATAAAAACACTTCAACTAATTTGTATTTTATAGCATTTTCATTAATTTATATTTTTCCTAACATTGTCCTCCTAAGTGATTTTTATTTTCTTAATGAACAGGGAGACAAATGTCAAAAAGTCATCAGTTTACTTGATCTCATAGGCCATAATGATGAATTTACTCAGTTTGAAGGAGAAAACACAAAGTTCAATTAAAGTCATGGGTCAAAATGAAGAATGTGTAAATCTCACATGTAGAGATTATCCCTCTTTGAGGATTATGTTTTTATCCAGGATTATAAACATTGATATTAGGAAGGCAGGGCTAGCTTTGGTCTTAATAAGGATGGGTTAATACTCAGGACTTAAACTATTAAAAACCACTTTACCGTGTCACATCCAACAAGCACTTGGAGCAGCATCAATTGAAACCTCATTTTCAAAAAGCAGTTCATATTTAAGTGTATTTTTGCAGTCAGAGGTGCTTTTGTGCAAGTTATACATAGTTCTCTGGACGTTTTTGTTTTTTAAAAGATGACGTCTGGGGTGGATTTAAAATCGGAAGACACTGATATGGAGGTAAGACATTTAAAGCAATACTGTACGTATACATCTGATTAATGTTTCATTAAGTGTTTTCAAAAGTGTAATCTTAAAGGATTGCATTTCTGCTTTTCAATGAAATAAATTCCTATGACGAGGATAAAATTACAAATGGAAATAGTTTTATGTTCGGTTTATGCAGCTTGTCAATGTTTATCTTTGAACTCAAAACCTTCATTTCTGATCTGGATTGACTTCAGGAGCTGGGAGAAAAATACCTTATTTATGAGTGTTAATTTGTAATTAAATTGCATCTCCAGATTATTAACGACTGGCATACCCCCATTGCAAATGATAATATTTGTGCACACTTGCCCTTGTTGGGTTTTAGGTCTAAATGTTATCAAGGGGTAAATTCATGCATCTCCTTTGTTGTTTGAATCAATTTCAGCTCTTTTTTTTTTTTTTGGTAGGTGTCGGGCAATAATGATGGCCCTGGCTCAGAGCCTTTGATCACTATAACACAGAGTACACCAGATATGGAGAGGAAGATTGTGTTGGCACCAGTCAATCAATTACAAGTTCCTTCTCAGCGTCACCGCTCCAATTCTTTAAGGGTCTGTTCTATTAAATTGTTGCTTTAAATATTTCAAAATCCCCATTATGTATTCCATGGTTGCATGTTAAAATGCTTATCTAGAGCTTGTTTCAATCTTTTTCATGTAATATAAGGAAGAATCGCCTGAGGAACAACAAAGGTTTTTCAGTATGATCACCCATGGCCAGCGTGGACGTATAGAGGACCAGCGCTGTGCCTTGGATACCAGCAGAGGTGCTTCTTTTCACTCAAATGCACATTTGTTTTGCAATTATATCTAAAATAAATAAAACAAGGGCACAACCTGTCAATTATTTTTTGTTTTATGTAGTAATTATTTGTAAAAACTGATGTCCAATAACTTGTTAAATCTTATCTCCAGATCCTGCGTTGTTTTTTAACCTTTTGACCCAAAGTGGACGGCTGGATGACCAGCAAGTTTCTCATTCATCATTACCAGTATTGCAGAATGAAGATGGTGTCTATAATGAAGATTCAAGCTATTTCTTTCATTTGGTCTCAAAAGTGCAGGTTAGCTATTTTTGTGGAAAAAATCTCTCTCTTTTAAGATCAACAAACAACACATTCTCATAGGGTTTGGACAGAATGTCAGCCAACATATTCAACATTTAGTGTTGTCACTTTATTTTTTACTATAGGAATTTTTGACCTTGTTTTACATGTCCATCAAAAGACAATTGTTCACCGCATGCATTTCAGGGGTCCAGAATGGAGGACCAACGGTGCTTCCTACCTCAGCTTCAAGGACCTGGGGCACAGATATCTGCAAACAATGAAAAATCTGTGCCTGCTTTGCGTCTAACCCGCTCAGCCTCATTTGGCACAAACTCTGATTTAAGTCGAGAAAAGAATAAAGAAAAACAACGATCTACATTAACTCTTAATCCACAAGGAACACCCAATACCTTATTCAGTCTAAATACCCAAGGTTAGAGGCATGGTTCTAGCTTGATTAAATTGCTTTAAGTCAGATATTTTAGTGTCACAGGTTTGATCATGAAGTCTTTTTTTTTCGTTATCAGATGCTGAAAAGCTCTACAATATGCTGACAAACTTTCAAGGCAGACGACTGGATGACCAGCGTATGTTTCTACCCTCATTACCAGGAATAGAGAACGGAGGCTCGACATTAACTCCTGTTGACATGGATGCAAAATATTTATGTTATTTGGTTTCAAGAGCCCAGGTTGGCTTAATAAGATCATTTTACAATTAATAAGAACAATTTACTTTTTTTTCTTATTTGCATGAACTCTAATCTAAATAACTAAACTTTTATTTTGAATTTTTCCTGTATCATAGGGCTCAAGGATGGATGACCAAAGGTGCTTTCTGCCTAAGCCTCATGATCCCAATGCACATATTTCTTCAAACCAGGGAAATTTGGGGCCTGCTTTACGTCTAGCCCGCTCAGCCTCCTTCAGCACAAATTACAATTTAAGTCGAGCAAAGGATACCGAAAAACAGCAATGTGCATTAACTCAAGGAACATCCAGTCCCTTGCTTAGTCTAAACACCCAAGGTTAGAAGCAGCACTCTGGTGGAATTTTATTAACCACTGTTAGACGGATATTTTGACTTAACTGTTCGAATTTGATTGGAAAATCTGGTATATTTTTCTTCCTTTACTAGATGCCGAAAAGCTCTACAGTTTGCTGACAAACTTTCAAGGCAGACGACTGGATGACCAGCGTATGTTTCTTCCCTCATTACCAGGAATACAGACTGGAGGCTCAACATCAACATTAACTCAAGCTGAAATGGATGCAAGACATTTATGTTATTTGGTTTCAAGAGTCCAGGTTGGCTCCATAAGTGTGCTCTAATAAAGTCATAGTTTTCAGATATATTTACATTTTGCTTATACGGAGTCAAATCTGAATTAATGTAATTCATTTCCATATATTTTTCCCCCATTACAGGGCTCAAGAATGGATGAACAAAGATGCTGTGCACCCCAAATCCTGAAAAATTTAAGCACCCCTTCGACTCAGCACAAAAATCTTAAAATTGATGCATCGGATAAACCTGAACAGAGTTCTCTACCTTTTGGAACACATAAACATTGGCAGGTTGGATAAGTTTCTGCAGCTGAAAAAAATTTATATTCTGTATTTTGCCTCTTGATGTATATCAGGGATCAAATAAAATATGTATATTTTTCAAAATCTTTTCCAAATGTAGGATTTATCATCAGCTGAACAGGATCAGTTTTTTGAGACGATAAGACATGCTCAAAGTGCACGTATGGAAGAGCAGCGGTGCTATTTACAACCTCAACAAAGCCTGGCTTCCACTCCAGTGCACAATGGAGGTCCTTTAAACAATGGGTTACTGGGTTAGAAAAACACACCAGACAAGATGTTGCAAAATTACTTATGTTGAGATATTAGAAATAATCTGAATATTTTCAACAGGGTCTCAACTTATGACATTTGCGAATAATGAGAACCGCGGACAGGGTCCAAGGCAAGAAGTTCAAAATAGTCCAATGCAAGGGATTAGTGGAGAATCAAAAGCTTTGAAAAATGCAAAAAACTCTGGTTTCACAGTAAGTTACATATTTGGTATAAATTATTGGAAGGGTACCTTTTGAAACAAGCAAATGTTCCTTGATTAATTTGTCATTTCCCTGTTTCACAACATTTTATGGCTTGAAGTTAAGAATGGATTCAGATTTTTTATATAATCAATTATTAATGTAATTCATGTAAAAAAAGAAACTTATTTATGAGATTTTATTCAAAGAAAATTGCTGTGCTTATATTTTTGACTGATATTTATCAACCAATGCTTTTACGTAAAGTGTATAACAACTTTTTCTTAGGTCTCACCCCCATATATTACTCTGAGTGAAGGAACACGCATTACATCAAGACAGTCCTATGGCAGAAGTGTCTCTCAGCCACAAATGGCAGATGCATATTCCAGCACTACCATGGCCCTATCGAATTCTGCTTCAGCTATCCCTGAGGCTGAAACCGAGATGACTCAAAACCCCAAAACGCAGGTAAAAAAAATACACAACTTCATTTTGAATGATCTTAAAGTTTAGCTTGACAAAACCCATCTTTAAAGTCACTTAAAAATATAGTGGGGGATTTTCGCAAATTTTTGAAAAGACCCGCCCTATCCACTTAAAAAAAGCACATGCACAATCCTGTACTAGCTCCTCAGAAAGAATGCTTATTAAATACATGAGGGAGCATGCATTATCCCATTTCTCTTCATGCACGCTCTGTTGAAAAGTTCCTGTTTGCATCGCTCGTACAAACTTCTAAAAGATTTGCAATTTTTTCACAATGTCAGACTCCCCACCGGTCATTGAAATTTGGCGATGAGCAAGTAGGACGGCCTTACATAAACATCTCACCAAAATGATTCACATTAGGAGGACCACTTATTTTGATGATCCATGAGGAAAAAGAACATCCTCACTATACCTTTACGTTGGGTTAAATACAAAATGAATTGTTAACGCAGTATTGCACATACGGTAAATTGTATACAGTACATTGAATGTACTGAAGAATAATTATCAGCTATTTATTTCTAAAAAGGAGGAAATATGCCACTTTGTTGAAATAATTTTTAAACATGTTTTCTGATTTTGGTAAAATCCTGGACCTGGTCTACAACAGACCAGGCGAATGAAACTAATGTGTCTCTGATGATTTTACATTTTTTATTTTTTACTTCCACAATAGATGACATTAAAAGTAACACTCAA